TTGGAGGGCCTGGTTTCCTTACTAAGGTGGTGTACACCAGGTTCTAGTGGAGGAGGCTCATAAGTCGAGATTCTCCATTCATCTCGGGGCGACGAAGATGTATCGGGATCTTCCCCTTGATTATTGGTGGCCCTGCATGAAGCGAGACCTAACATGGTATGTGAAGCGGTGCTTGACTTGCATGAAAGTCAAGCCCGAGCACCAGTGACCTCACAACAAGATGCAGCCGTTGGAGATTCCCGTGTGGAAAGGGGAAGACATCACCATGGATTTCATCACAAAGCTTCCCATGATTGCACGTGGAGTGGATTTGATTTGGGTCATTATGGATTGGTTGACCAAGAATGTACATTTCATCCCGATCCAGGAGAGTATATCGGCTGAGAAGCTAGCCGAGATCTATGTATGCGAGGTGGTAGCACGCCATGGAGTGCCGATGTCAGTTGTGTCAGACCGAGATGTTTGCTTCACTTCCAGATTCTGGAAGTTGTTTCACGACGAGATGGGTACTCATCTTCACTTCAGAATAACTTTTCACCCTCATACAGATGGGCAGAGTGAGAGAAAGATTCAGACTTTGGAGGAGATTCTACGCATATGTGTATTAGATTTTTTTGGGAGTTGGTGTTACTTGATGTAGACTCCTATTGAAGGATGCCTCTAGCCTGTCCCATGGCCCTAACCTCAGGATTGTCTAACATATTTTTAACTAACGTGTTGATACCACTCTCTTTCCCCCATATATCTACGGAATTCAAGATGGAGCTTTGTTGTAAGGATTTTCTATTCCCAGACCAACATTTTTGTCTATTGTTGGGCCTAAAAATCTACAGAGTGTAGCGAGGAAGAAGTAACAGGCAACTCCATTCTTTAATCGAGTCGGGATGGGCAATCACCTTGTAAAGAGCTGTTTTCAATGCATGAGAGAAAGTGAGGCGACAAATGTGGGAGATACTCTTGACAATAGTGATAGGAGCTTTAAAAACATGATCAAGGGGCCCAACATCAAAAACCAAACCTCCAAGAACATTTGTCGCAGACACTTTAGTAGACGACTTTAAAATACCAACAATGTAACGACTCGGGCCGTCAACCCTGTAATAAAACTCACAAGACCATATGAGTGATGACAATAACGACTAACAACATGCAAAGTCAAACACTTCCCACCCATCCATTGACCAAAGGCCCTCAAACTTTCTTCCACCGCCATAAATAAACCAACATCACTAGAAAGAGCTTCACGTAAAACACATTTACGATCTTCGGTAAGTAGATGCTGACTTTTGATGTGTGAAATCATACGTACAATCCCCTTACTTCCCACTTCACCATTTGGGCAACAATGGAAGCTTTTGAATGGGCACAGACAAATATCACTCGAACTTGTAGAAGAAGAAGCCATACAAGAGAACAAGCCTTGAGATGAAGCTTAAGCTATTAAGTAAGAATTAAAGAGGAAGAAAGGAAATGGCACACCAACATACTGTTGGTGTGCACAAGGAACACTCAAACAAAATAAACTACATTATCTTGAACAATAAAGCTGCAACAAGTGAAAAACTGATTTTGGCATTTTATCAAACACTTGGTGGGCAAAAAAAATAGCTTCTTGGAATTTCATCTTCTTCCATTGAAACATCAACCTTCTAATATGATATCTCACAAGAATCCAAAAATCAACACAGAGAATCGAGATTGAGAAAATGCAGGAGAGTTTGAGAAACCCCACTCGAAAATTAGCTAGAAACTCGAAAAATTCAAAAACCCAACTTGGAATTTCCCACAAAGACGAAGTTTATCTAGAAGATTGAGGTTTTGGTATGAATCAACCCAACCCGGTGTCAGAGTTTAGTTTGGAATCACGAACATTTAACACCCAATTAAAAATATTCTTCTGTCGCTGCTTCCTGTCGCTTCATCTTGATGCCAGGGGCGGATTTAGGGGGGTTCCGGGGTGGCACCGGCAACCCCTAAATTTTCCGGCCGTAGTGGAAAAATTTTCGAAATATTTTAAAATTTTTATTTTTTCTACTATCGTGCAACCCCTACTATGAAATCCTGCGTCCGCCCCTGCTTGATGCTTCCACTCCCTCCATCCATTGCCATTCTGATTGACGCCTCATAACATGATCGATCTTTCCAAAGAGACTTCGAAGAACGATACCGTTGCCCTCCAAGTTTATCCAATTCCCTCGCTATATATATTATAAGTGTTCTATAAGTCAATTATAATTGTTTCAATAATAAAATCTAATAACTAAATGGCTAAATCGATAACAATATGAAATTGTTTAAAACAAAATTAAAATGATTTGTTAGATTTGTTGACCTTTTTTTCATGGTTTGTCTCGCCGTGTGATTCATGTTGAATCGTTGTTGAAGTCAAGACCGCCTTTGTGGCTCGTGTGGGACGTAGAAAGGAAATAATATAATAATTTTGGCAATTATATCATAGCTTTTTTAAGGGCAATGTCGTAAATGGATAATAAACAATTTGATTTTTTTTGTTACAAAACATGTTATTTTTTCAAAAGTAGTATCAAAAGGTAAATGTAAGTAATTTGAATATTTGTTACAAAATACATTCATTATATATTCTTATGTGTACGGTGAGTTCAAACTACCCGTTGAATCATATGTTTACGGTGAGTCCTAAACCACCCGTTCAATCTCAACACATACAATCAATGCTATTTAGCATGCCTGAAAATCATTGTCTAGATTCTTGTGGAGTGTACAAAAGTTGAATGTTGGTTCGCATAAAAAACCATCTCCTTAGAGTTTGATAATACCATAACAAAAATTATAGAGGCTTTCACATGAAAGTCTTTTTGATATATCACGTATCTCTATAGATGTTGTTTTTAAAAGAATTAGTTTTACTATCCAAAAAAGATTACGACACAACTTGGTGCTTGTTTACCCGCAACTTCTATGTAAATATTTCTTATGAATTTGGTAATCAATAAATGAAATGAATGAAGCTGAAGTTAATGATAACAAAAAAAAAAAAAAAAAAAAAAAAAAAAAAGACAATTTACTTTAGAAAAAAACAACCCGGCCAACCTCACCAACCTGAAACCGTTGCCATACGGAACCGAAAGGGCCTTTGGCCCACAATTGTTTTCCGGCCGAACAACGTCCACACCATGCACCCTTATTTCTAATATGTTGTATCAAAATTTAAACATGTATCTAAATATTTCACGTGTCCATGACTGTATTTTGTTCATTCACGTGTCTGCTATTTTGTCCACTCATAGATTTCTTTTCTAATCGTTATACGGTATTTTAAATTTATATCCACCATTCTTCAACGTATTTTAATATGACTTTAATAGTTCTATATGTATATATAAAATAATGTTCATTCACGTGTCAGCTATTTTGTCCACTCATAGAAATCTTTTATAATTGTTATACGGTATTCTAATTTATATTCACCAATCTATTTTATATTTGACAATAACCGACTTTAACAGTTTTATTTACAAAAACCAAAAAGTAAAACAAAAACGAACAAAAAGTTCTTAAAAACTCCAAAGACGCGCCAGGTAGGGGTCGAACCTACGACCTTCTGCTTAGGAAACAGACGCTCTATCCACTGAGCTACAGGCGCTTATTTGTCTTTAAATTCTATAGATATTTATAAATTGTATACTTTGTTAAGCCGAGCATATTTTCAAATAAAGTTGTTTTTACGTACAATATGTTTTTCATATAGGAAATCTTCAATAAAATCCTAAAATTTTGATCCGGTTTACGTTTTAATCCTAAACTAATTTTTGTTTACGAAAAAGTCCTAAAAACCAGCAAAAGTATGCATTTTGACCCCTTTTGACCGGTTGGAACCGGCAACAAATTAATTTGGGACTATTTCATAAACTAACCTAAAATATTGGAACTATTTCACAAAATGACCTAAAAAAATTGGGATTTTTTCTGCAAAAAAAAAATTAGGACTTTTATACAAACAAAAACCTTATTATTATTATTATTATTATTATTATTATTATAAACAAGTATACTAAAATTTTAAATTATTTATTATTAATATTTTTAATAATACATATAAATACACTTAAATAAAAATATATTAAAGAAATTATTCAAAGGTGAAGGTGGTGGTGATGGTAATGCTTTAAGTATGGAAATCACTGCTTGTATGTCCTCACTTTGTATATGATCATTTCACATTTCTTATTATTGTTTTCAAATCAAAATATTAACACTTAACAATTTAAAAGAAGTTGCCTATTTGTAAAATTATGTATAAATAGTTTAAGATAAAATGATTTCTCACTTTGTATATAAAATTTCTTTAGGTAGAATGATTTCTTTTCAAATCCAACAGATCCACAATAAATATTTACATTGGTGGCCCATATCAAAATTCGAAAATATTAATTAAAATATCTTATTTAATAGAAAGTAATATGATTTATTTTGCTTTATCACACTATATTTGCTATGTTTCCAAAAAAACCACAAGGATAAAGTAATGAAAAAGAGCAACACACATGTTGGTAATTCAAAAATATTTACACACAAGATATACACGCATATCACATGCTCACTATTTGTAAACAATTTGAAAAATCAGTAGCTTCTTTTAAATTGTTATATGTTAATATTCTGAATTAAAAACAATAATAACAAATGTGAAATGACCATATACAAAGTTAGAATATACAAACAGACATTCATGATTACAAAGCTTAAAGTATTACCATCCGCAAAACCTTCACCTTTATAAAACGTTTTTAATATTTTTTAATTTAAATGTATTTATATGTATTATTAATAATATTAATAATAACAAATTTAAAAAATAGTATACTTATTTATATTTTTAATATAATAATAATAAGGTTTTTGTTTGCAGAAAAACCCTAATATTTTTTGTTTTTGTAGAAAAGTCCCAATATTTTGGATCAATTTATGAAATAGTCATAAATTAACTTGTTACCGGTTCCAACCAGTCAAAAAGGGTCAAAATGCAAACTTTTGCCGGTTTTTGGGACTTTTTCGTAAACAAAAATTAGTTTAGGACTAGAACATAAACCGGGCTAAAATTTTAGGACTTTATTGGAGATTTCCCTTTAATGTAAATAAATCTATTTTCTTAAACTAATTTGTTATTAAATTTTTATTCAGGTTTTTAATTTAATAAATCAAGAAGCATTTGTTCCATCATTAGGCGTGAATGTAACCGGCATACGAGAGAATCATTTACAATTAAACATAGATCAAGAAGCCTCTGTATTCATTTCACTTGTATCATCCACTCAAGATCATGATGTAACTGATGATGAAGAAAATAATGACAATAATGCCCTCATACCCTTAATTGATGGCGAAGAAGAAAAACAACCCGTGAAAAAAAGATCATTTCTTCCAAATAGAATCAGCTCCGAAATTCTTTTGAAACAACTTTTTCATGAACATGTATTTGTTCGGGCAAAGAACCGGTCAGCTTCTCCCAACAAAAGTCAACAGTTCGGGCAGCTAAGAAAAGATGGGTCAAAGTCAAACCTTCTTGGTCATTTCTGCATGTCTCTAACTCACAGAATATTTTCATATAAAGTTTTGACACAACTAGAAAATCTGGTAATTTATTTTTTTGCTTTCTTGAAATTAGGTTGCTATTTTTTGTTTTTTGAATTTAACCTTTTATTTTATTATTATGACATAGGCTAAGAGTGTATCGTATGTTAGATTGGTGTCTCATCCTACATGGACTTCTCGTACATCTTCATGGACACTGGTGGTGGATGTCCCTCAGTCCATTCTTCATTCCGGCCACCAGATGTGGGCGGCAGAGAAGAGGGGGAAGTCACAGTCCCACACTAAAGTGGTGGTGATTGATGATTGTACTAATATTGAAGGTGAAGGTGCTCCGAATGTAGTCGGGCTCTTTAAAGGGAAATGTGAAAACAGCTGTTCCATCAATAGATATGATTGTAACTTAGCCGACCTTCATGTCATACTTTTACAACAGGTATGTCCGATAGATGACATGACATGACAGAACAGATTGTACTGTGTTTGTCTACTTTTTTTAATGTCACCGCCATGGAAACTGGTGTCGGTGGGGATTTTTTATCCCACCCAAGAAGTTGGATCAAGACGGGACGTATGTTTGACATGACATGACATGATAGAACAGAACAGATTAGGTTCTACCTGGGAGTCGGAGACTGGAATTGAGACTGATGTCAATGGGACAAAAATTGTAGCTTTTTGTCCCATTCAAAAAGGTGGAACAAGATGGGACAAGGACCCGCTCTCGATATCTCATTTGTGCAAAAGATGAAAATACCCTTGTCATCCTAATCATCGAAATAGCCCTAGAAAGAAGTCCTTTATTGTCCAGTCCCATGTAACAAACGTAGCCTAAAGGCTACGATTGTTAAATTGGAGTGGACTGGACTGGACAACCTTTCTAGGGCTATTTTTGATGATTAGGGTGACAAGGGCATTTTTATCTTTTGCACAAATGAGATATCGAGAGCGAGTCCTTGTCCCATCTTGTTTCGCTTGTTTGAACAGGACAAAAAGATATAATTTTTTTGTCTCATTGACATCAGTCTCAATCCCAGTCCAATACGGTATCTATTAAAATACAGAATTTACTAATTGTGAATTAAACAGGTTGCGAGTCAAATTATCCATTGGCTGCATGAAGAAGCTCTTAGTGTGGGAATGAACGCGAGTCGGGACTTTTTAAGCTTTTGTTTTGAGGTGGAGCAGGGTGAAGCGGTGGGTGTGGTGGTTCATGTGGATCCGGAGGATGGTGAAGGCGGCATATCGTGGTGGTTGGTGGTGGGGAATGGCGGAGGAGTGGAGGAATACAAGGTTGAAAGAGAGGATTCGGAGGGGGAAACAAAGAGATATTTGGGGCATTTATCTCTTGATGTGTTGTATGCAACTTTGTTGGATCTCTTGACCATGTGTAGCAATGGTGGGAGCCTCAAGTCTTCGTTAGTTAATCAACTGTAATAAAATCGACCCTAAAAGATAGTGTTTGAATATTTGAGTTGTAATACTAAGTTACTTAATTGATAGAATATGAGTTTTTAACTAATTAATAGATTAAAAAGAGATGTACTTTGTATAAAGATTTTTAAGAACAAAAGTAAATTTAAAAGTTGTAGGTGGTGATCATTAATTATAGATAGCAGTAGCAGTAGCACTTTTATTGGAGAGGAGAAGATATGGGAAAGGTATGGTTGAAGTGGGATTGTAACCAATCCAATTTCCCATAAATAACAATATCAAAACCCTTTTCTACGTGTGACAAAAGGAAAAAAGGGTGTTGCTAATAAAACACCCCTTAAACACCCTATAATCATTTTTATAAAAAGTCAACCTATAATCAACTTCTTGTAATCATCTTTTTCGGAAAACAATGCAATTCCAACCAATAAAAATATTTCAAACATTAATTAGGGTTGTCTAAATGGTAAAATAGGGTGTCTTATTAACCAACCCCAGGAAAAAAACAAGTATAAAAGAAAGCAAGATGTGATGTTTTTGTAGGTGGAGTAGGAGCTATTAATGTCGTTTTATTTGAGTTTTTGAAAGGTGAAAAGTAGTGCAATATACAAAGAAATAGTTTAAAGAAATAGTTTACGTGAAAATAAAAAATTATAATTATTAATCAATTATTTTAAAAAAATCATTTTAAATAAATTATTAATTAAGAGATATATCAAAATTTTAAACTTATTGTAAATTCAAATTTAAATATAATTAGAAAATATAAATCTGAGTTTTGAAATGAGTCGTCTAAGGTCTTGTGGTATACGTACCACGAATGGAATCGTGGTCTAGTTGGCCACGATAACGGATCGTACACACCACCCCGAGGTTCCGTGGTCGTGCTTCTTCGTGCTTCCGACGATGGATTCAAATGAATAATGTGATTGGTTGTTGGGTTTTTTGGTCGTTGAACGGCTATTTTGGTCGTTTTTTTTTCAAACTCAATTCACTAAATATAAATAAACCTTCTATTATACCAAAACTTACACCTCATTTTATTCTCTAAAACCACAAAACACATACACATGGATTCCACAATACATATGGAATTTTTAAAAGGTTTTGACTCGGATGATGACGTAGAATTCGTCGAGACATTCTTCAACTTTGTGCAACACATTCACGACGAAGAAAGTTTGAATGCAGCTCATACAAGGGCGGTCGTCAATCGTGATCGTCAAGCCGCACACGACTTATTGGTATGTGATTATTTTGCCGATAATTGTCTTTATTATGACGACTCCTTCGAACGTCATTTCCATCTAAATAAGGCTATAATTTTACGCATTAGTAATGCTTTAGAATCTCGTTATGATTTTTTTCAAACAAAAACCCGAAGCTAGAGGAAGAATGGGTTTTAGTAGTATACAAAAATGTGCGGCTGCTCTTAGGTATTTGGGATACGGTATAGCATTTGATGCATCTGACGAATACTTGAAAGTATCCGAGAGGACCGCAGTTGAATGTGTAGATTGGTTTTCTGCATGTGTTTATGAGGTTTTTCACGAAGAATATTTGCGCAAACCTACTCGACGTGATATTGAGAGATTATATTCGGCTCATGAAGAGAGGCATGGATTTCCGGGTATGCTTGGCAGTCTAGATTGTACATATGTGGCTTGGGAAAAATGTCCAACTGCATGGCGTGGTCAGTTCACTCGAGGAGCTATAGGTAAACCAATTATCATCCTAGAAGCTGTTGCATCTCAAGATTTGTGGATATGACATGCCTTTTTTGGAGTAGCGGGGTCTAACAACGACCTTAATGTTCTTGGCGAGTCTCCACTTTTCAACGATATTTGGACCGACAAAGCACCTGATATGACATTCACGGTGAACGAGCACGAATTACAAATACAGTTACTACCTTGGTGATGGGATATACCCGGATTATTCTACATTGATGAAGCCATACTCGGTTCCTCGAAGTGAAAAGGTGAATTTTTTTACAAAAAAACAGGAATCGGCGAGAAAGGATATCGAGAGGGCCTTTGAAGTCCTTAAGCAGACATGACATGTAGTGAAATATGTTACATGATTCTGGGATAAATAAATAATTAAACGAATGGTCCTAGCATGTATTATAATGCATAATATAATTATTGAAGATGAGGGTCGAACGATTTGCACGTATGATCCGAACGACGTTGTCATTCCAATTGAGGAGTTCGTACCCGGAACGAATGTTTTTTTAGAGCGAGTTGTTTAAATTCATAACAGTGAAACATGTTTCAATCTTCGAGAAGATGTCGCGGAACATTTGTACCAACGTAGCATGAACGACGATTAGGATTTTTATATGTATGTTTGTTTGTTTTTTTAATTAATGTAATGTTTTTTTTCTAGATTAACTAAGTAATGTAGTTTGAAGTTGTTATTTTATTTTTATAATTAATGGAAAAATAGTTCTAAAAAATGTGTTTTTTAATTATAAAAAATGTAATTTTATTGTATTTTTGAATTAAAAAAAAATAAATAAAAATAATGATGTAGAGAGGTGTGTTAGTGGTAGGCATCTCATGTTAGTGGTAGTGAAATGTGGTGCTGATGTGGCACCCACCACATATGTGGTATGTGGTGGGTATAACGGATGGTCTAATATATCTGCATGACACAGAGCATAATATTAATGAGGAGTTATATTAAAACGATATTTATCAAAATGATAGTAAAACTATTCATTTATTAGAATACAAAAATGTGAAATTGTATTGGTTACATGTTTGGTATGTGTGTGTGTATATATATACACACACACACACACACACACACACACACATTAACCGTTTACCCGCGATAAGCGATGGGTGTAAATAAATTTTTTCGGAAATTAATTTTAGAAGTGATATAATATTTGACATATATACTTCATTTATTTATAGAACATCTTATTTTTACTTTTGAAATTAATTTTTTGTTTTGGAATACTTGCATCAAAATTGCCAAAAATAAAAATGATGTCATGTCCAAAGTATGTGGCATAAGTAATTGAACTAATTATAACCCATTTTTTTTCTTATAATCTAATCTCATAAAAAAAGTTATATGTGATATACTTACATATATTGACCATTGTGAGGAATAATCTGTGTACATAAATCGGAGCTTTTGGGGTTTTAGTATCTTTATGCATATCAATGAAATGATGCGGAGAGATAGAGAAACGAAATGAGTAAGAAGAAGAAAAAGAGATGATGGTTCACACCATGGTTGTCAAAATCGCAATCCTGATCGTAGGATCGTACGATCTTACGATCCTAGGTATGAAAAACGATCCGGATCGTAAAAGAATCGAATTTGGGGTAGGATCGCAGGTACGATCGTAGGATCGAAATCCGATCCGATCCTACCATCCTTTGATTTTTTTTTTTTTTTTTTTTTTTTTTTTTTTGCAAATGATTTTTTTTTTCCATTTTATGTCTTTTACCCTTTACCAATCTACCATTTATCATTTTTTATTGTGATTTATGACTAATATTTTGAAGTTTTTATAACTTTTGAATGAAAAATTAAATGTTTGAAATACTTTTCATGATTAAATATTATAAATTAAAATTATATTCTATTTTGTGGGATCTTAGGATCTCGATTCCGATCTTACGATCCCGATCTTGCAAACCCAAAAACGATCCTAGGTAGGATCCCGATCTTGACAACCTTGGTTCACACTATACATTTGTCCTACTTTTAGGCCTATTCATCATTTTTCTTTTAAAATAAATTATTATCCTTATCTCTAAACATTAATACACATAACCACCACAAAATCAACCCATTAAGACTAAAAACATACATTGTGAAAACAAAAAAAATGTTGGCCACATATTATTAAACTCATATGCATTTTCTGTATAATAAAAAATGCATAGAGCGGTGCATTTTTTTGTATACTAAAAAGATACATAAAACGATTTGAATCGAGTCTCTTCTATCCATAGGTCCAGGCTTGCAGCCACATCTATCCTTCCAATAACTTCAATCATAATTTATTTCTTTATTTAATTAAACCAAGAAATAACTCTGTTATAAAAGGATTTAAAGAAAGTAATTGCAACATACTTTATCCCCTTTAATCCCTTTATAATATATTTTTATTTTTATTTTAATCATTTTAAGTATAATGTTATTTCTTTCTTTTGATCGCTTGAAGTTGAAAACTAAAATAAAGAAAAAGTAATAATCATAATTTTCTTGTAACATACTACATGAGTAAATATATGTTTTTTTTAAACCTTTCAACCGTTTAGTCAATTTGTGTGTATATTTTACCTTAATAACTATTCAAAAATATTTGTGTATAGTTTTAAAGGGAAAAATATTTTGTTTCAAGTATTATACTTATTGAATAGGTTTATATTAGAGATTGTATAAATATGAATACATTTATATGGAAATCATTATAATGCAGGTAGTATACTTATCGAAAATATAGATAAACTTGCAAATGTTTGCAAGTTAAAATAAAATATATTTAAGAACATTTATATCAGTAATATAAACAACTCAATAGAAAAGTACACTTTAAGTTTATTTGTTTAATACATTTTTGGACCATTGTATCCTTCTTAGATGTTCATTTACTCCATGGATTTACCTTAGTCCACCTTCATGAGTGAAACCAACTACTCCACTTGCACATTTACAGACATTACACTGAAAATATACATAAAATAATTGTAATGAAATATATAAAACTCAAATTTAATTAATCTCATATAGTGTTCATCAATTAATAATAGGGAATTAACACTTATTCATAACTACCCTGGCGGGCATTTTGGAAGTCAAACTTTTCTTCACATCATTCCATTCAACTTGGAAAAAAAATTAACAGCTTGAGGAAATGTTTACATATGTAATTTCTATTTGTTGATATAATGATTAAAATAAAGCATGTTGCTACTGTTGGATAAGGTATCTAAGTCCATAACTTATTTGGTATATACTTGACCCGACCC